CCGGCCTGACTCGGCCCGGCCTGACTCGGCCCGGCCTGACTCGGCCCGGGCTGACTCGGCCCGGGCTGACTCGGCCCGGGCTGACTCGGCCCGGGCTGACTCGGCCCGGGCTGACTCGGCCCGGGCTGACTCGGCCCTGACTCAATGTAAAAGAGGGTTGAGCCCTGTTAACTTTTCTACTGCGCATGCGGAATAATGTTGCGAGTTGAAAGAGGCGCCAATTTTTTCTGCATCTTTTAGCATAGTTTATGCTTTCTATTAGACTTTAAGGTTACGGTAAACGTTTTCTGGACGATACCATTTTTCCATTTCTCCACTTTCTAGAGCCGAACTTCCAAGGCACACAATTATAACCATGTTTGAAACTAGCAGAAGTTTTGAAAATGCAAAAAATTCCATGTAAACGGAAGTTTCCATAACTTCTTTATCAAAACTACTAGTTCAGGTCTGAAAATCTCTTGACCTGTTAAGCCGATTATCGTTGCTTTGCAGTTGTGGTCGCATGTCTCATTTACAATATCGCATGGCACATCCATGTATCCAATGTATGAGGCTTATTCATCTTAAAGCTTCAAATGACTTGACCCGGATTTCACTGTGGTTTACGAGTGTACCTTGCAAGTGCGATCAGTAAAATTCCGTTTTCTACGGACTTACAACTCCTCTACATACAGGTACGAAAAAGCTATTTTGTACCCAAGGAACTAATCGAATGGCTCAAAAATTTGCACACGGCCAGGACAGATGTCGGGTAAGCAAATTGTGTCTGAAATTTGTGTAGCTGGGAATCAGTTTACTGCGATTTTGACGCCAGACCGCCCCTGAGTGTGGTTTTGGAATAGTTTAAAAATATCAATGATTATAGAAAATCAAAGTGAGTGGCTAAACATTGTTGCTGGATCCGTTTTAAAACAGATCAATCATTATTTTCTGGAATTTCGACGAGACAGAAAACACCACAGCAAGCATCGCGACTGTAAATGCTTGGAATTTTGCGAACGACGGCTTTTTTTCCAATATTAACATCAATTCATAAATTTAAGAGCAATATAAGGCCACTCACCAAATTTCACATCGATATTCGAAAGAGAAGTGAACGAAATCGATCCTTACTTTTACCAAATTGCTCCAAGGGTTCGGTATGGAGCAAGTTCCTATTTGCCACTACTCAAAATGGCGGAAGTAAACAAATTCGCCTCACAGCGGACCTGTGAGTTAGACATGTAGCGCCTTCGGCGCTTCTATATCATTGGTTCCTCTGAACTCTCTGGCCTAGGCGATACAGATGTGCAGGTTTTGAATAGTTATTTGAAAACATTACTGCAGGCTTTCGAGTGGGAGTGTTGGTTATACTTCATTTTTTATTATATGTAACTAAGACCATCTACGATCAATTGTGCACAGTATAAACCAACCAAACCAACACTTAAAGTGTGACCAATCGCCAACAAACTTACAAGTAGGTTTCAGAAATATTATTTTAAAAAAGTATGTACTGGTTACACCAATACTGGTTACATCGGTAAAGTGCTGTGATTGACTTTGGCACAGTATTTTGGTTTCTTTCAGTCATAATGCCATATTATCTTAAAAACCTGATTAATTAGATCTGATCATTATTATTTATCAAGGCAGATTTTTCAAAGTTCTATACATGAATTGGTGCAGAAAAATTAGGCCATTGCAAAACATATAAATTTTAGGACAAAATCTTTATTGTACAGTGACCCTCAGATGGTCATAAGCTTCAGCGTTAGGGTAGGGAGCATGGTTATCAATTATCAAAATTATATCTGTCTCAAAAGGATTAATTGTGCAAATTGTGGGGCTAGCAAAAAAACCAGCAGTTTTTCTGATCATTCTTAATTTTTCTGGAAGAATCACTTTATGATATACTATTTGACTGTTTGTTTATTCTGTTTCCAATGAAGAAAGAACCATGGAACTTCGTCATTTCATCAAGTATACACCCCCACCAGCCCACCCATCAGATTGTGAGTCTTGTCCTAGTGATCTGAATGATGAGATTCTGGAATGGAAAGAGCGGATGAAATATATTCATGAGGACATGGACTGGCTGTTAAGGCTTGGTACTGAAGAGTTTTGGAAACAGGTTAGTTTTCAATTTTAAAGATAAGTTTCATTTAACTTGATAACAATGAAAGCATTCCTAGTGTTGGTCTGGCAAATTCAAGTAAAATTTTATTAAAACTTGAAAGTATGATGTTAGCTATTTTGCCTTCTTTTTGTGAACCAAAAAGTTTTATTTAATCTATAGTTTATGCATTATATGTACCTTAAACGCTCTATTAAGCCCCCTCTTTCTATCAAGCTCCTCTCTATTAAGCCACTCCTTATCTAGCAAAAACTTGAAATAAGCCCCCAGTCTCTATTAAGCCCCCCCCTCTTTAGCCTTTGTTGAAAAACAAGTCAAACATACGCATTTAGTGGATCTTTTAACAGGTGTGATGATAATAAGATCGTTTGCATTAAATACTGCCCATGTAAAGACTTGCGCCCCTAAGAAGTCAATCAATATTTGTTTAGAAGATGTCCCAGGGCTATCAATTAATCCTGTTGATTCTGAAGAAGATGAGGCCTTGTATTTGATTATTTAGACTTTCGAGGCTGCAAGCAAAGTTTTCTGAGAACATTTGTATGACATTTTTATAACAAAAAATAGAAAAGGGCATTTTTAAAACATTTTTGATTCAAATTTTTAATAAGCCCCTCTCTCTAATAAGCCCCCCCAGTGGCGGACACTTGGGGGGGCAAAGGGGGGCAACAGCCCCCCCAATACTTTACAGGACAATGGTCTTTTGTTCGAAAACAATTGGAAACATGATGTCATCTTATTAAAACAATAGGCTTGCCTCCCCAATAATTGACCAAGTGTCCGCCCCTGAGCCCCCCCTCTTTTAAGTCTCCTCTTTAGGACTAAAAAGAATAAATAAGCCCCCTGGGGGCTAAATAGAGCCTTTAAGGTATATGCTATTTTAAAATCACCATTTTAAGAATGAACATAACAGGTTGTTGTTGCTGCATCATAAATTATCTGAGATTCTGTTAAAAAGCCATTCATAAGATTATTTCAATTTCTCTGTTGAAATTTTTGCTAAATGTGTCTTTTTTAGATTACACAAGATGAAACTTTCAGCCATAGCTATGATTCTTTTTGGCAATGCTGTCCAAGGTATGAGCAAATCATTTTTGACAGTTTCCTTTCAAGTTCTTTTAAATTATTAATGTGGTGCAATTTTTTTTGTAAAGTGATTTTTCCTATAAAACCTTTGCATTGTAACTAAATTAAAATCTTATCAGGTGCATTTTAGTACTGTTTACTCTAGGTTAGGTTTTGTTTAAGGTTACTTTCTCTATTTTTCACTGGACACACATAAATAACAGCTTCTCTTGAAGTGTTTATCCAGTATAAATATTCGAAATTATTATTATTATTATTATTTTTTATGTGAATGCAGGCAACAGGATAGCTTTAGCTCTTCATCTTGTCTTTGTGAAACCATGGTTTCACAAAGACAAGTATTTTTGTGAATTGTGAATTTTCTAAGTGTTCAATGATCTCAATACAGATGAAACTTTTAAGCTCAAAACACTCTTCTTTAACACATCAAAGTAATAATACAGTTTTGTAGAACCCAGGAAATAATGAACTTTGTGTTGCCAAGACTCCCTCAAACTTACATCTTCCTTTTTAGGCCATATGATTTGCAAGATGTTCCAAGCCAATGTTTAAGGATTCAAGATGAAATCAGGAAACTATCCTTGCTACTTTTCCTAAGAATCTGTGATAGTACAAGTGTGAGTACTTCACTTTATTGCTTTGTATTTTGCCTTACTCAGGCATATATGATGTGCCATACAACTTAAAAATTTTCCTTGCTACAAATTTTATGCCATCTCAAGAGCTGCTTGTGTGCAAAAGTCTTTCAGTCCCATCACACAACACAGGTCTTTTTCACAGTTAATAATAAATGTTGGGGTACTTTCTATTTTGTTAATTGGAAACTCTAAAGTAAATCTCTATCTTGCTTTATCAATTTTATTTAATTTCTTTCTGTTTTTTGCAGAAATCTGAAAGTGAAACCATGTTTGGTCAAAGTAAAAATTATTTCATACTCAGATTCAAGTCATAATTTGGATGTTTCCCCCCTGCCCCCTTGTTGGAAAATTAATATCCTGTAGCAACACAAGGGGGGCTAATGATGTTTTTGGAGCAAGAAATTGGGACCTTTTCCTTGTGATGTTATTTAATGTCCTTGTGATTTCAGAATAAATGTCCTCTTTGATAGGCACTTCCTTCACATGAAGAAAATATCTATACTCTCTTCTTATTTTCTTCATTCTTTTATCTTAAAGACTCATTGCTAACAATGGGTCTTTGCGAGCATGGTGACGATCCAAACAATGGCAGTCAACTGTCTTCAATGGCAGTAAATTGATTTCAGACTGTCTAAAAATGCATAATGGGATTGTTAGCAATTGTTAGCAATGAGTCTTTAATACAAGAGTAAAATGAAAATTGCTTGTTTAAAGCTAATCAATCGAGTAAACAAAATGTCCTTATCAACTGACATATAAGCATCCTTAACTGACGTCTTGTTAATTTATATCAAAACTACTACACATGTTAAGAAACTTTAAGCATCAAATCCTTTCTTCCAATAGCTTCCACTTAATTGTTGATATTGAGAATAATGAAACATATTTTTTCTAGCTTGATGGAAAGGCAAATATTTCCCATGCTTCCTTGTTATACGATAACTTTCTCCTGGATGTTCCAAAAGTCATAGATATTTGCAGCATTTACAACAATGTTAGTGTTGATACCAAGCATCTTATATCAAATGCTCTTGAAGCAGCTTTTAAAAAACAGCAAGGGTAAGACAATAGTATTAATTCTACTAAAATGTTATCCAAAACAAATTTATCATTCGATGTTTGTCCTTTAAAAAGAACTTGTTTTCCATGTTGTGGTATTCAAATAGCAAATGCTTGTTTTTGAATTTACTTGATGTGAAACACGATAGATAATGTAAGTTTCTTAGGACTCAGTCCAGGAAGATTATAAATATTATTATGAAGAATATTTACTTGCATTAAATCATTTTTAGATGTGGTTAAGACCTGTCCTCCATATTGGAAACGATTTCGCAGTATTTTCCCAGTGAAGTGGGAAGCCTCTTTAACCAATGCCCGCTTTATATTTTTGTAGTTTTGAAAAAGGTCAACCTTTCAAACGAGAATATATTTCCCTGGCTTACTGGCTTCCTGCTTAAATTTTCTTGTTTTATTTTGATTATTCAGTAAGGAATAAATTGCTTGGCATTGGTACGAAGATTATCAGGCAAAATGGTAGCATGATCAAGTAAGGAAACAAAATATGATCTAATGGCTACGGTATTTGAATGAAGAATTATTATTTTCAACATCTTTTTTTAACAGCTATTGGAATGATTTAGATGTTGCCATTGACACGATCTTCCATACATTTGAAAGCATTGCAGAGAGATTTACTCTTCTTGATGATGACGATGATCACCTGCCGAAACAGATCTCTACTCAAGGAAAAACAGGGTATTCATCCGATGACGTCATAGATGTAATCGTGTACTTGTACGACACGGCTAATGCACTTTGGTCTCTTGTTTCCATGTGTCCCTTTACATGCCCTATACTTCTTGACAAAGGATCTTTAAAAAGGTAAGCTAGACTGCCAAGGGGTGTTTGTAAGAAAGTTGGATCTGACTATACCTATAAAGTTTTCCTCTCCTTCGAGAATATGTTTGAAACATTAAAAATCTACGAAATTGAAAATTTACGATAAAAGTTGCTAAACTTATATATAGAACATTGATATGGTTTATCATAGGTCTTTATTCTTTGTTAGTTCTGATACCCTATATTTTAGCGAAATGTGTATGCCACAAAATGTTTATGTAGAATTGCCACTCTGAAAAGTGGAAGACTGAGAGACTCATGCGTGTTTTCATAGGGTGAAATGAAGATTTTTGAAATTGGTGTTAGTCTTTCCACTTTTCTCAATTTATCTTTGTTCCTTTACTGTATTCCAAAAGTTATTTAACATAGCTGTTAAACATAGCAACCTGTGAATAGCAAAACATGGGCTCATTACAACAGGAAAGTATTTTTTCCTGCGCTATGAATATGTAAATGTGATTTATTTCTGTTTCTTTCAGGATTTCAACAATAGTCGACAAGTTTCTTCCACGCCTAAAAGAACTTTATGGCAAAAGGCTGAGTGAAGACCAGAGAAAATATTTTCACAGGACGAAGAGGCAACTGCTTCAGTTTAGCCACAAAATTCTGAGCGAATGCTTTTTCAGCCGTGCTTCAGCATTGTAAGAACTTGTTTTCTTGTTATATAGTACTATCCAAAGACATCGAGACTGGAACAGTGTCTCAACTGAACGAAAGAAATGACCTATTTTCTTCTTGATCTAGTCTTTGTTACAAGAATCTTTTATTTCAAGCTAGGGCAGTCACTTGCTGTGTGGAAGTATTACAAAATATTTAGAAAAGCAAAAAAGTTTTCAGAAATTCCACTTGTTACGTCTTGAAATTTGAATTGCTTTTGACGTCCCTAGCACCCCTTGGTGCAATTTTTAATGTTCCGCAACTTTGCGCCAATAGTCCAAGCTAAAACGATTGCATGTTCGTATCTCTTTGCCAAGAAACTGATATGTTAAGTATATTTTCTAATTCACATCTAATCAGAGTTTTTTGAGAAGGAATAATTTTTGATACATTCAGCACGTTTCTAAAGGCTCTATCTGTTCTCTCGATATAGCTACTTTCTGTACAGTCATGCAAAATGTTTTAAGAAGAACCTTTCCAAATATTTGAGAATTCTAATCTTTCATTAACCCCCCTCATACGAGATTCACGAGACCCCCCTCATAAACCATATTTTACCCTCACGTTTGTTCCCTTTAGTTTCACAAAAACATTTTCTGTGAATAAGACAAGCTCTGTCAACCGTCTTTAATCACATGCTGTCTAGGCTTTAAGATTTGCCATAACTCAAGTTGATTTTTCAAGTTGTAACTCAAAAGATTGGTATAGTTTCTCATTGTCCGATGGTTGCATCACAAAAAACCCGGACATTTGCTGCTTGAAGCAGTCTCGTTCTACGAATAGGTTTAGCACTGCTCTAGTTATTGTCGTATCGTACATTTTGTGGTACACTGCGTAACATGATTATGATGATGCACTATACATGCTTTTTGCCTTTAACATTCATTTGTGTTACTAATTCATTCATTCAACTGTTTCCATTCTTTAGTTCAACAGACAAAAAGCTCCTTGAAGATCTTCTTAGCACTCTTTCGCATCTTTTGTCTGATACAAGGTATGGGTGCCTCATTTTATTATTATTATAAATGTTTTCTATCAATGGGCCTGTATAAAGGCAAGTATTTCCCCATCAGTGTATTCCTTGCCACTGGATTGTATGTGATTCGTGAATGAGTCGTTGTCAAGTCGTAACTGACTCATAAGTGAGTTTTTTCAATGCAAGAGGCTGTCTCCAGATCACAGGTCAGTTGGAGGCAACGGAATAATGGTGTCCGTTGTTGTTTTTCAAATCATTTCCTTGTTAAACTTGCTTTCACTCATTGAATTAAATGACGCCAAATGAACTAAAATCAGCTAAAATCGAACAAAACGACGGGATGGTCCTAGCTGTAAATGCAACGTTTGCAAATGATATCGATATCCTGTAAATTTTGTCCACTCATATCAAAGTTGCTTTAATATTTAGCTTATGAATGTACGTATTATTTCCTTAGTTATTTCCTTTTCATTTGTTATACAGTGGATTCGATTTAGATTAGTTGTATGTGTATATATGCATCTATATATGTATAGCTAGAAGCAAAATCGAATTAAAATAAGGTTACAAACAAACCAAACAAACAAACAAAACAAGACATAGCAGAAGTTTCGTTCTATGATAAAATGAAAATTACTGGTCTGTCTTAAGTGCTAGACGCCCTTATAAGCAAAGCTGTACAAGCTATGGTGAACATAAATAGTCAGTTCTAATCTGCAATTCCGACTTTTACGTTTACCCTTACTGCGATCATCAGGTAACTGTTCCGGGTTCTATAGTGGTATGGTTTTGCGACATCTTAATGTAACCATTGCTGTTACTTGGATGTCAATGCATCTCATAGGTGTTTTCCATCCCCAGAAAGACATTACTATCAGGACCTTAAATTACTTTTTCAAACGAAACAAAGTTTTTAGACCACATTAAAACCATTTGAGTCAGTGATGAATGATGGTGACTTTTTCTTCTAAGAATCTGCCTAAGTACCCAACCTCTATAGAAGCACCAATATTGATTCTGTCTCCAAAATCCTTTTATTTGTGCGATTGCCTGCAAATGTTATGTTTAATTATCAACGGTTTTTGAATATTTAACAGTAATTGTTTGATTTAGTTTCCCGTGCTTAAATTCTGTTCTTGGTATGTAGCATTTCTATTCTTTCTTTTCAGGTTTATTGTCAATTATGAAAAGTATTTCAAACTCAGTGATGAGCTTAGCAAAATTGAGATGAAATCAGATGGTGATCATGTTGAAAATATTGTTTATATAAAGCAAATCATACAGAGTATGGTGCCGCAGACACTACCTGAGAGCAAGGAGGAAGTGCAAGAGGTGGAGGTAACACATTATGCTTTAGAGACTTAACATTGATTTTAACTAAATAGCATTTCAAACCCGTCAAATCAAACCCTTGTGCATATTATGTTGTATGGTGACAAAAGATTTTCACATGATGAAAATGAAAAAAATTTGGAATCAACGCTAAAATTCATTCATACATCAGAACGTTTCTTGTAGCACCAGAAAATACCACAATTGTTTAACTTATCTAACATTTCATCCTTCTCTATTTATCTTTTAGCATTAAATGTATAGTAATGTAGAATCAGCACTAAAGACCACACCAAAATCTTGTCCTAGTTTTTATCTTCTTTTCAAGTTATAGCCCCTTTGTCTTTTGATCGAACCAGCTATCCGCACGGACTAAACAGGATTTTGGTATAGCATTTGGTGCTACTGTATTGTTTTTTGTTAAGGTCAATGGGTAGCCATGCCTATCATGCTCCCATTGGCATCGTCTTTGTAATCTTGTACTTGTAAAATGTATTTTTTTAGACTGTGTAAGATAAACATTGATTTTGGATGGCTCAGTGGTTGGGGCCGCGGACTCCAGATCCAAGGGTCCGGGATTCAAGACTTCTAATTTTTAAAAATTTAACGTATAAGTAGTGGAGCAGAGTCAATTTTGAATTCTAGTTTAACCTTTTAGACAAGTGTTTTGTTTTGTTAAAGAGTTGGTTAGTTTTCTTATAGAATATTTTTGATGAGAATGAATGTATAGCCTTGATTCAAATTCATATAAGTCCAGTGGAATGCAGCGTGAAAAGGCGTTTGGTTTAAAATAATTGTGCACAAATTTGGTGTGTCGATAAGGCTCAGATCAACCGTTAGGCTCAGATAGACCGTTGTTCTAGAATTTAAATCATATCTTGTTTAAGTTTTCTTCTTAACTACTTCAAATTTTTGTAAGGCTGGTGCAGTTGCCGCTGTACCAGAAGACAAAATCGAAGAGTTAATCACTCAGTTGAAAAGCATGTTTCCTAACGAGAAGAATGCGTTTCTGCGAGCCGCCATTATTCACTTTGATGGCAACCCGGAAAAGGTTGTCAATAATATCATCGAAAACAACTTCCCACCATATTTGGAGGAAATACGACATGAAGAATCTGCTCCAATGAAGCCACAACTGAAGGAAAAAGAGACAGACGGTGCATTGCCAGGCCAATATTATTTGAAAAGTGACGTTTTGAAGAAATCAGAGATTGATGAAATATTCACAAATACTGCAACCTCTAAAGATTTTCTCAAGCATCTGAAATCATCGGACGGGGGTTCGGCTGCATATGATTCAGCTTATGACGATTTCGCCTATGACGAATATAACGATGAATATGACGATACCTACGATTCTCATAATGTCGGTGTAATGGATGCTGATTCGGGCGATGAGCTAAGGGATGTTACTACGCGAAGGTAAGGCTTCTGCAAAACTGTACGAGTTATTTCGTCATCCTAATCTCAGATCGTTTCGGTACTCGAAACATCTTAAATACCCCCCTTTTTAAAGTGGTCATCGTTTGGTTTGGTTTTGCTAATGCAAGTGCTGATTAGATAATGATATTGCGCAAAATGAGTATTGGAAGATAGTAGGAAGATATGCTGATTGTTATCCTAGCAGTGTGGACGTCATTTGGGGTTGAACAGTAGCAGGAGTATAGAGCCAGAGGACTCGGGAGGCTTGTCTTTCTTTTTAATGCCAAAAAGTAACCCTTTTCTGCTTCTTGTTTTTGTTTAAGGTTTTTGGAGGGCTCCCTTGTTTTTCCATAGCCTTTAGTAGGTAGGAAGGCCAAATATGGGTAAAGGGTCTGTGGGGTTTAACTTGTTAATAGGTAGGGAGTGGAATGATCGCAAATTATCTGAAAGTACCAATATCTTAAAGTTTATAGGTAATAAATGCTGTTAGGATGTTAAAAAGATCCACAAAATTTAAATGTCACAAACGACTTCAAAAGTTGTAGAAAGATTTGGAACTGTTCTTATTTTGCAATGATAAAACCCTCATTCAACGTATTATGGAGACGTGAATTTGCATTATCCTTTCATGAAACAGAATTTGGCGGTTATATGTGATGATATTTGTAATATCAAATACTCTTCGATGTTTAGAGTATTTGCAGGACTGTTCTTAGTTTTGAGGCAGCATCTGGTGGAGCAGCATGCCTGTTTTAGTAAAGAGAGCTTAATCAGTAGCTATATTTGAAGAAACATCAAATTTTAAAGTGGAAACAAATGCAATTGCCCGATTTTTAGATAATGGTTATTAAGATTTTATATTGCATTATATCGTCGATGTCTTTTTCTTTTATAAATTTTAAATAGCTGATGTAAATTACTTAAAATTAATTTTCAATGCAGAACTAGGACTTTAACCAACTTAAAATAGATTGATCAGTATTATTTTATTATTGATGTTATTATAACTACGAGTTTTTCACTCTTAATGCTATTGTCAGGACACTTTGAAAGCAAACATGTGAATAATCAAGATTTAAAATAGACTCGTTGCGTGTTGTTATTATCTCAGTTTGTCTGGATCAATCGATAGAACGACGTATAATTTTGTTCTTTTTCAGAACATTCGTTAAGCCCAAAGTCCTGCGAGCTCTAGAGAAGCCATCAGCATCAGACGAAGAGCAGGAAGGTAGCAGTAGTGAGGAGGAGGACAACCAAGATCAGGTTTTTATATTTGCCTTTCTTTTTAAGGAAGAAAGATCTTGGTTTTTATATTTGCCTTTCTTTTTAAGGAAGAAAATTTCAAAATCAATATCGTGTGATCGACTCTTGTACTGGCTTTGAATTTACATAGGATCAGATAACAGAAAAGAAGTCTTTAGATTTTCATTTTGGTTAATTAGTTTTCAGTTTTTTCTGCAGCACAGATATTTTGTCGTTCTCCTATATCCCTTCGTTCAAAGGCTATTGTTTCTCTCTTCTTGAGAATTGTTGTACTAGAATGTTCTGGAAAAATGTTATGTGATTTCGCCGGTAAGGTCCATGATATGAATATTGTGAGTGTGTTTATTCTTCAGCGATTAGCTCTCGCAAAACTGTTATCTTACTTTAAATCTTTTCAAGAATGAACAAGGACTTTTCGAATCTGGATGGAATGCATCAAATCGGGGGTATGGTCGTGGAAATGCTTCATGGAGAGGGAGAGGATATGACAGAAGACAGCGTTATAACGAAGGAGCTAGAAATGACACTGAAAGAAATCGAAGGGGAGCTCCACGTGGTGAAAATGAAAGAGGAAGACCATCAAATAGAGGGCACAGAGGTGGACCATCTCGCCCTCCTAGAGGTGGACAGTCACACCCCGCTAGAGGTAGGGGAGGAAAGAAAAACAATCATAAATCTTTGGCTTTGAAGAAATCTGCTAGAGGAATGGCAGGAATTTAGCAATTTATGTTTTATAATTTGAAATTAGAAGAACTTTAAGTATCAATGCATATCTGACTGTTCGCCGGTCACTGTTTTCGTTTCATTTGAATCGATTTTTGAGCAAATATAGGGTAGGCAGGCTGTGCTATAGCACATTCAATGCCTGCCCAACTTCTGTCAGTAATTACTGATTGCTAGAAGAAATTCATTACTTATTTTTGAATGAAAATCAAATGTCCTAAAACAATCTAGACCTCATTTTCATATACTGCCCTCGTTATCGCCAAGATGTAAATGTCAGTTTTTAACTGCATTTAATTATATCTTAAACCTACAAACAATATTGGATTTTCAACCGAAGCGGGAACGATATCATGAAGAAAGAACGATATCAAATCCAGGTGTATCTCCTGTGCAGCTCCTAACCCGTTGGTCTCTTTTTAAATTTCCTGGCATTGAGAAGATAGCAAATGAAACCAGCAGAATGTAAAGTTTCATTCCACTCTTGCTTGTGATGTCCTTGTAGAATGAAGGTGTATCAAACATCCCATGAAAATCCAGATATATCAACAATTTTTCTGTGTTAGCTCTTTGCTTGAGAATAAACCTCTTAAAAAAATGGAATGATTCCCCTTATTTTTTGCTTCGTTAACGAAAGATGTATAAAAATGATTTTCCTATCAAGCTTAGATTATTAATTTTCATCTAAATTCGGGAAGGTCACGAGAATTTGTATAAGATCAAATTTTAAAAATTTTAGAATAATATACTCTATCACTATGCTACATTTATGTTTCAATAGAATGAGAGTCAATTTAGACAGATTTTGAATTCAAATGATTTTTGATCAAATTGATATGATTCAGATTTATCCTTTCTCTGATACAGATACTTTCAATTTTATAAACTGGTTAGGTTTATGGGGTTTATTTTCTGATACAGACAAATCAAACTTTCTGATACATATATTTTTGAAGAACGATAGTCCAGTTTTATTTTCTGCTGCAGGTATCTCAAGCTTCACTCATGCCATAGATCCCCATATGCACATCTCTCTTTTGGAAAACGCTTCCAAGTGTATTGCTTGCAAATGGTTCTTTTGCGTCCTCCACAAGGCGCACCAGCTTGTTGACGAGTTTGCTCTCGCCAGCTTCTGGGCTCATCCAACAGACCCATTTCAATGGCGCTGTCATGATTCTGTATGCACTTTCATTGATGATGTGTACTGAAGCGTGAACACCGTTGACAATGATGTGATGGTTGTCAGTGAGTGGATGGATCACATTTCCAACGTATGGTAACACTACAGAGACTTTTTTGGCAACCAATTCTGAATTATCCTGTACCCATACATAATCACCTGAAATGATAAATTTTTTGAAGATTTAGACAACTCTGTGGCAAAATACTCGGGCTTTGTCACTACAATTTTTACAAGTGTTTGATACACGATTCTTCTCCGTCTTCTCTCCAGCCTGCTAGCATCCCTTCGGTTCTAAACCGTAAATTCCGAGTAAAACACGCAATGTTACTATACAAACAACCATTTCAGTCATATATTTTGTGTTTTTCCAAAATTACTTTTAAGGTTACCTTTGCTGAGTTGCGAAGCCATGACGGGCTTGGCTTTCACTGCATCGAGTTCGCTGTCGGCTTTGGTAGCGTAAATAAGATGGCGCTCACTTAGGCCAATGCTCTCCATTTCAGGTGCGTTTCCTTCATAATAAACTCTCAATAACTTAGCTCGCTTTTCTCCATCTCCGTGAGCAATGTAATAAACGTTGCTGAACACAATGTTGCCATTATCATCAACCGATTCGACCTGGTCTCCCACCTTGAGATCGCCAATTTTCTTGCTGTATTTGCTACCCTGCCCGTCTTGTACATTGACAATTCCCTTCACGTCAAAGCAGCCACGAGTCTGGAAAAGACAAAAAAGTAATTTAAGTAACAAGCTGCATATATAATATAGATCTAGTTAAAGGCTGGGCTTTCTAGGCTAGTGGATAAATGTTCTGCTAATTCAGCAAGCAAACATATGGACCCAATTGAAAACAAAAGCTTTGAAAATCGGACTACCCACCGCTCTTGTAACCTTCAAGGCTGGTGTCAATGCAGCCCTGATTTGTCCAGCTTTGCCTCCAACCCTTGACATATCATCAAGATTCCTGTCATTAGAGAAGTACCCAATGGCAGCCATTGACCCAATATTGATAATGGCACTCAGAGCTGCAAACACGATCGGGAAGATGATGATTCGTTTTGCGGACTTCTTGGACATTGCACCAGCTGCTTGACGACCACCTCTGTCGAGCGTCTCCATATCATCGATATCCTTCACTTCCTTGTGCCAGTCAAGGCCAACGTCGATGGCCAAAGCAAGGGTGTACTGTCCAGGCAGCTTATTGGCATTCTCTTTCATCTTGTCATAACCGCAATAGAAGAAACATTCTGGATCTCCTCTTGCATATGCCTTTGCTATAAACTGGGCATCACTTGGTTGGCAATTCTTGATGTTCTTCTTCTTACAGAGACCGATCATTGAGTAGTAAAATTCGACTGCCATCTTGCGCCTGTCTTCGGGGCTGAGGTTCTTCCATTCCTGATTATTATGGATTTCGGTTGTCGGGTTTGTTATGTCATAATCGTCAACATCTCCCATGTCTATTTCATTGCCTCGGCGTGCTATTTCTGCCCGAAGCTTTTGCTAAAAGAAAAATCCAACAGTCAAATAGAAATCAACGAAAACTAAGAAAGTAGAAGAGTTCAACACGCTAAGGAGGAACACCCATGGCTAAAAGGCTCGTTTTTCAGGCATTTATTTCATGTTAATGGTATTCTCTTTCGTAGACCTCGTGATCAAAGAATGTTTAGAAGCTGGTACTAATATCTAGAGACCATTTAGCAGGCTGAAATGCATGATGGATCTTAGGGGTTTTCATGAGATGGAACCTGACAGCAAGTTTTATAGAAGCAGAGGCCTCTTTGGCCGATCCATTTTGTTGTTAATTCCCTTTTTTTTCGCATGATGAAGGATCTGCAACAAGTGCTAGAAAACATTTCGTTTTTAGATGCCAGAAAAGGCTTTTTCTTTCTATTTAATTTTATCTAGGATAGAGAGCCCTTTAAAGATAAAGGAGAGAGGGCTTTGCTGAAAAGAAACGAAGTTCTATTTTTTGCTCTTATTTTTGAGAATGTTTGCCTCTACGTTAATTTTTACAACACCACACCCCTGATCGTACTTAATGAATCAACCTCTACTCCTTAAAAAAAATTTCAATAAAATCTTCGCATAATTGTATTCAAAGCCACATACCTCATCCTTTTCCGCGAATGCAAGTTGAGCCGCGAAGGCAAATAGTGCGAAGAGACACAGCTGACACTTCATTTTGCAATCCTTCTGCAAATGACAAACAAAATTGTGATACCTAATGACATATATTATTCTATGTTAGATTTTTGCGATGTCGATTTTTTAATCGCCAATCCCTTCTTCCATCTTCCATCCGTTGCTAAATCAAGCATCATGATTAATATAAAGGTGCGAAAAGCTGTTTCTATATGCAGATTTTAGTTTGAAAGTTTTTCGTGCATAACAGGCCATCGTTCAAAAAAAAAGTCATAGTTTTTATCGCGTCACTGCAACAGCTTTAGTGTTAGTGTCATTAAAAAGTTAAAAAAATTATAAGAAAATTTACAAAAATTGATGTATCAAAGAAAGAACATTAAGTTAAGTCAAAAGCCATGAAGGTAATGAACATTAAGTTACTTTCAAAGATAACACTGAAACATAGGTAGCATACTTACTTGTGCAAGATGAATGGAAAGATTTTTTTCTAGATGTGTTTTTATATGCTCCAATAAAACAGTTGGTTGAGTAAAGTAAATAACCAGTAAAATTGGCACAAACAACCCGTCAACTAAACACTTGTTTTCGGTCAAAGCTACTGAGCTTGTACCTACCTGTATGTATATTTGTATTGATTGATTTTAGTCGTATTGGATGTAGTAACAAACTAGAGGTTACACAATGACCACGGAGAGGGTTATGGAAAAAAGAATTTCGGTTGCTGTGCCCCACCCAGACCACACCTTTTTGGTATTTTTATAGTAAGGCATTTAAAGCTTTAGCTCCATTGGCAGTCCCTACTAGGACGTCATTTTGTCATAATATCTTTAAAGGCACGTATTTATATCCTGTAGCTCCTAGTTGTAGATACAATCTTTTTATAAGATCCAGTACATTTAAGTTCAGGCTGAATCTTCTTAATCTTTTCAAAAATCTGAGGCTGGATTGTTCTTAGTTTGTGTAAGCAATGCGATTGCTAGCTTTTTCTGTCTAGGGAGGTGTCCATATTGAGTGAGACATATTGAGTGAGACAACCATTTGCCGACAAGTTTTGAGTATTCAGCAAAAAAGCATATTGCTAAAAATTGACCAATTTTGAGGCTCGTGTTCTTATAAAAGAGAGTCTACACTCGACAATTTGTTGTTGTTTCTTCATTGACAAAAACGTCCTATCTCTTTGTATAGAAGTAGGACTTGCAGATAGCTACTGCAGGTTATTGAAAGTCATCATCGCAGCACTGAGGTTGGCTTTGTATTGAATCGTGAAGTGAATGAGTGTTATTGTACAAATTGTGCACTAGTAAAAATTGCAGCATGGCTCTATGGTTTTATCGTGAAGTACAATTTTAAAAGGTAGCATTTGTGCTCGTAAATGCATCCTGCAGCGTTTGTATTTTGGACTCACCACATTGATGACTAACGTACTCCCTAGTTAACATGGAGCCTGGGATACCTGAGATTCCAAAGTGCCAAGCACGATTTTCTCAACAGTATTGAAAATGGAAGTCGATGTCCAGCTCGACGTTTTGCTAAGATGACCACAAATTTCTTGAAACAGAAGGATTTACTAGGAAGCTTTGGCTATTTTTTCATTTTTCACCCCCTCCTTTTCTACCACAGTGATGTAATTCAACTTCTTGAATATGATCTATTAATGCAAATAAAACATAAAAAGCAACTTTCTCGTGTAATGGTTTGGACTGTGTATTGATGTGAAATGGATGCCTGTGCATTCACTGGTTCTATGCTTATGAAGCTCTCCTCGTTGGACGATAAGCTATTTAAACATAACTTTTATTTCAATTTACTTTGTCAGTTTTTTTCTAAAATAGCGGAGTCGAAAAATTTCTAAAGAAGAGTTTAGCAATTTTTCTAGGAAAACCCAAAAACAAGAAACATTTTCTAGATAGGTATTTCTTGGTTTTTTATAGAGATGCGTGTAATTAAGATCCGAGGGAAACAGATATTCAGGGGAAGCTTGCAAATCTAATCAATGTGTTTTCCTAATGAGTAGAACTGGTGGTGATCGATACAGATCAGTTCCAAGCAAATACTCATGGTGTTTACTGGGAAAACAACTCTGATGATCAGCTTATTACCTAGCTCAAAATGCCTAAAGATCACAATTTGCTTGCAAGCAAACTCATTCAACAAAACAAACTACACGGTATTAGATTGTTTTAGAATTAAGAACGTTCTATTAATTATATTTCTGATCAATTTCATGAACTGGTGCTGTGTTCTCACATACAACACAACGACTATAAACTTCATACTTAAAATATATTTATGATATTGTCTAGTTCTATTACAAATGAGTGTGTATCTTAAAAACTCCAATTTTGCACAAAATTCTTTTTGTAGGATATCGACAAGCGTGTAATTGAACTATCAACTAGGCAATTTAAGTTATTATTAATTAAGTCTTTACCTTGCAGTTAATCTGCAATGTGTGCTAGCTCTATAAACAACGTGTACTAGAACAAATAACTGCTTATTTTCAAAGTCTTATATATTTTGAAACGTTTTGTGACACCAACAGAACCTTGGCTTTAATTGCAACAGAACCTTATTAGTGTTGTTTAATTGCTTTCACAAAATTTCTCGCTTCCATTAAGCCCAATTTTTTCAGTATTTCCTTGTTTCAGATTTTGTACAGACCCTTTCTATTATCTTTGCATTGGCTGCTCTAGAGATTCTTGATTTCACATGATTATTATGCTTCTCGATAACAGATATTGGTTTAATTTCTTGTCGAAGCTTGCATGTGCATGTGTATATGTAAAGCTAAGACTCTTAGTTTATCAAAAATCATCAAAAACTCCATCGAAATTTTGCGTTAGTCTGATTTTACAAAGAGTTCTAACCAGTGTGCCATTTTCATTTTTTCAGTGTACTGATGAATTATAAGATGATCCACAAAATGAATGATAGCAGGTTGACTTCTTATCAAATTTGATGAGCCAACTGCAGTTCAAATTCCAAAATTTAAATGTTTCAACTTAAGTCACGCCAATCATAGTCAATTGAAAAAGACTTTTCAAGTGCCAGTGGCGGATCCAGACTACCGCCATTACCGCTCGAGCGGTAGTCAGATTATTCAAAAAATTATAGAAACAAGGATCATTTTCATGTTTATCCTACTACTTCAATTAAACCATATTTAATTATTGAAAATATTTGATCGCGCTGCAAACCAAGCCTTTCTTCCTAGAAACATGCCTGAAATTTCCACAGAGACAGAAATATTTTTTAATCCCTTATCGCTATGGAAATTGCGTGCCAATTGCCGAGCCACATGTTTGCAAATAGAAGGCTAGCATGGGGGGATGATGAAATCATGGCTTGCTAGCTAGGGGGGTTGAGTCGGTGTAGAGCGGATTCGAGCTGCACTGAGCGGTAGTCAGCCTGCCTAAACCAATCAAATCGTCAGAAATCACTGCCAACCTGGGGGGATGCATACAAATTTTGTTGACAACCAATGAACAACCGAGTTGACTACCGCTCAGATGGGGGGTTGAGTAGTACTGCCGCTCAACACGGCTCAAACGTTACAGAAAGATGGGGGGATGCCTAAATATTCTGCAAACTGTAACTTCAAAGCCGATGTGACCCATTATTTTGTACAATACACAACTAATCGTAGGAATATATTTTAAAAGAATATTAAGACTCAAATATTCTAAAGGTTTAAAAAAGGCATCAGGTTTAAAAGTCAGGCCCACAATATTCGCCAAAAGTATGATTCTTTGTTTAACAAAAGTTGCTCTCAATAATTTCAAATTTCAAAATTTCAAATTTTGTACTCCATTTATCTTTCTTTTATAAAAGTTTTTAGGAAAATGTATAAACTCATTGTAGATTATTATTTATTTTTTCATGGCGTATAGATGGTTCATGGATATTGAGTTGAATTTCATGTGACCGGAGCATGATCACGAAAAAGAGGCTTCTTTGCAAGTCAGAGAGGGCTCCAGTCAAGATATTCAAGATTTTTTGTAGAGTACCTTTCTGAGCTAAACATGACTGAGGTTTGTATTTAACTTATATCACCATCAGTTTTTTCTTTAATATTGTATGCTTAAGGTTTGTTTGTTTACAGTGAGTTGCAAATTAACATCCTAAAGGTCGTCGTTGGGCACATAATAAGTGAAGGCTTTAGGCCTATATCTCACATTTAATGTAAGTCCATTTTGGTCGAGGTCTCGAGCGTACAAGACATTCCTTCAAGAGTTTTTAAGTTTGCATACAAGTTTCGTTTAAATGTCGGGTTTGAAAATGCCTTTGCAGACTTGATACGTACATCCAGCAAGTAACACCGATTGAAAAGTTGATAGATGCATAGCGGAGATATTTTTTAAAAGTATCTTCTCACAATTGACAAAATAGGTGTGTCATTTTGCGAAATTGTAGCATCTACAATTATAACATAATGAATTTGATAGCGGTTTTGTTCTGTTTGGTTCCTGACTTGCTGCTCTGCCTCTGAAAAGAAGACAGTGAGGCAAATAACTTTAACAACCCAAGCGTGCCTTTAAATTGCAATCTTCATGGTCCCCCTTCCTGAGATCTTGGGGACATGGTCCCCCTCCCTTAGATCTTGGGGGAAAGTGCCCTACTTTCCCATAAGGAGCAGAGTGATTGCACCATTATTGTGGAATTTAATTCACATTATTGATATTTTGATTATAACTTAGATTTCAATTTGTTAATCTAATACTGGAATTGTTTTGATGACATTGATCTTTTAATTATTGGTATGGGATATGTTTATATATAATTTCCAGGTTCTATTAACCCAGTGTCAAGAATGCCAATAAATGCATTGATCTTTACAAAACTCTTACCTTATTTGTAATAATAAAATAGAAAAGCCATGGTATCCAATTTGTTAAAAAAAACTCCAAAATAATACTTGTGGTGAAATAGATAAATAAACGAGAACATAATAAAATGAAATATAACTGATTTAATTTCTTTTTCTGTTTTAGGCTCTGCACAGTTTTTTCCATGAGATGTTAGAGAGGTTAATATAACTTGTTTATAAATGGTGGCAATGTTTTTGTTATGTTTGTTTGTTTGGTTATTATTTATTTAACGTATATTGAGCTTAAGTGGATGAAGAGATTTGAGCTATATTTTATTTGCATATTTGTTGAAAGGTGCCTCAGAACATCAGCTCCAGCTAATGTGAGAATCAGAATAATTTTCTAGATCTACCAATACATTTAAAGACTGTATCCAAATTTTTTCAAGCTTCATGCAAAAAGACCCCAAATTCTTGGTCCACAAAATTTCAGACCCTTAATGTTTATGTTGCATGAAAAAGCAGGAAACAGTATGCAAGATTTAGGGTAGAAACTTTTACCTCATGAAATTGTTTGTGCTTAAATGTTACAGTTCTCACAATTAAATAATCAAGGAATACATATCTTAACTTTTATTTATACATGCAATGTTGGGTTCAACATCTGGGTCTGGAGCTTTTGCATCAAGACATTTTGTTATTTCTCTATATATGGTCAATCAGTGTGCTCTGGCTGCAGGCAGACAGCTCTTTTAGTTTGAATCAATAGCATTGTTATTTGAATCATAGCAAACATTTGGTTTAGCAGCATATAATATAAAATTTCATAGGTTTCTAAGAAGATTCTAAAAAATTAAATTTTCCTTGCTTTGTGGCCAATGGAGCCCAATTCAACTCCTTCTCTCATTTCCTGGAATCTGCAAAGAAAATCAATCATTTTGAATTTTTGAAAAAGATGTGCCTAAAGTTTGATACCAATTTTGATAGCAATCTAGACCAAGTTAGTGGACACAGAATGTAGTGAAGTGCAGCTGGTGTGGTTTAATATAATGTTTGAAATTTTTCAGGAAGAAAAGAAAAGCACAAAACCTTGTTATTTCTTTGTTTCAGGGCTGATGGGTTGTTAGCAATAATGGTGACGGACAGGGAAGGTGTGCCTGTTATTAAAGGTATTTAACTGATCTTGCAACTAGATTATCATTTTATCATTAGAAGTGCCATTAGACCTTCATATTAACAGTAGAAAGATAGAAACATTTGCATTTTATTGGAAGATTACATTTGTATAATTAGAGGCTAGAGCCTTGTTAGAGGCTAGAATATTTTACAATTAAGGCTCATTTCCTGTTAAAATTTGAACCTCTCTGCCCTTAGTTTACCAGGCAGGTGGACAATGTCCCCATTTCTCCCAACTTATTATCATTTCAAAATGCAAAAAGATATCGAATATACATAATATCTTAGGAAATTTTTGGGACACTTGCCTTGCCCCCATTATGCCCCAGTTTATTGGCTAGTCTATTGCAGGCCTTGCCCGGAAAGGCGCTCGATCGAGCGCGCGCGCCTAGAGCGCACCCAAAAAAAGCCTTGGAGAGCGATTTATAGAGCCCCTCAAAACGTAAAAACAATATTAACACGGAGCAAAATAAATTTTTGGAATTTGTTGAATCAACTTGATCAAGCATAAACAATCTTCCCAACAGACCGCAATATTATGATTTGTGTAAGATTACCCTTTGAGAAAAAATTCAGCAAATTCGACGTTGGGTTTTCGATATCATTTTTAATCTAATAACCCTCTAATAACCATCAAGAATACAGGCCATCAAGCGTATTCTCCGGCAGATTTATTTGATTTTTGAGCAAGCGTTAATCTTGTATTGAAGTAAATATTATTTTCTGTTTTTCTTAATAACTTAAAATCGCCTGTGCAAATCAGCGATCACATTTCCGTCCAAATTATCGCATTGCTTTTCATTTGCTTTTGCGAGTAGTAGATGTTCTAGCGTTTCTTATAGAATGGATAACATGAAAAAAGGAAACAAAGTTAAATGTTCGATTTAAAGCCATGCGTTTTGATGAAGCAATATGTGAAGCTGAACATAACAGTAGTGATACTGACACTGATAAAAGCTCATCGCATGATGGCAAACTTACATATCTAGAAAAATCTGAACAATTTTGCGACTTTGTTCTGTTATATTTACATAAACATAGTGTTTGTTGCATGTTTTGTTATTTCATGTTATGGTGCTTTCTGGTATCACCGTTGAATTTCATATTTAACATTCTTCCGAAGCTTTTGATATGAAGCTCTCGAAGGATGCTCTCAAGGAAATTTACTTAGAGGTGCGAAATAGAGCGCCTAGAGTTTCTAAGGGGCTCTTTTTATGGAGCACCTTCATTTTACTTAGAGCAAGGCCTGCTATTGATAATTAATTTTTGTTTCCTAGTTAACCAATCAAATTGCCCAGAACTTGCAACAAGAGGCAGCTTCCTAGCAACATTTTCAACTGCAACAGAACAGGTATGCAGCATTCAGATTAAGCCTAATCTTGTTCCTAAAATTGCATTTTCCTTCAATGTTGAAGATTCTACTCAACATTGATAAGTAGGATGACCTTTTCTTTCTAATTTTTAACTTTTTGCTGCAATTGCACCACATTGTTCTAGCCATTATTTTTCAACTGCATTGAAACTCCCAGAACAGAAACGTATGCAACAAAATTAATTATCTTATGCTATCTGTTTCATTCTGTTTGTTAGCCCTTAAAAATGACTTCATAAGATGACTATTTTTACTTTTGGGGAACCAATAAACATGTTTCTTCCCTGTTCCATTTCTATGCTTGCTACCGTTAAAAAGCTTCTGGCATCTTGGAAATCAAGATTTTAACTTGAATCCAAATCTTTTTTGATTACTTTTCATATGCAAAGTCATTTTTACCTGTTTATTATTTCAATTATGCCAAAGACCATGAGATTTAATCATTCACCCTTCACTTGTTTTCTTTCTGAATCTTTATCTTTTCAAGTTTTTACACTTATGAAATTTCTATCTTACACTCCCTGTACAGTTTTCTAATCTTATTCAACAAGTGAGACTCAAACAATTGTAATTGCTTAAAATTATTAATTTGGATATAAGAGAATTTGATTGCACCAGACAAGAAGCAAATTTGGAATGTATCATTGGAAAAAACTTTGTGTGCTTCAAAAGTCTGCTTTCTTCTTAGTTGCTTGCCATAGCAGAGCTGCATGACTGTCTAGCATGACACTGACAGGAAAGCCTTGCACCTGTGCTGACTCCTTTGTAATAGACCATCTCAGAGACCATGACGCCATGACACAAATGGGGCAAAAACCACAATAAACACTATGGCAGCCTAGATCTTCAAGATTTGTATATCCCTCTGTAGCTCAAACAGGGTCCCTTGTTAGTCAACAAAATTTAGATTTTCATTCTAAAAGTATTTTTCTCTATACTAAGGAAGTTTCATAGCCAAAAAATTTAAAAACAGCCTCTATCTACCATAAATCTTTGGCTGGTTTGCCTCACCTGAGGGATTGGAATTTGCTATAGAGCAATAGAATTCTATCATGGCGTCGTGAGTTCTTAGTTGGTCTATCCTCAATCCATATTTGGCAGAAATATGCATTGTCTGTCTTTCATTCCAAATTTTATAAAGTTTTTGATGAATTATGTTTTTTACTCATGTTATTTTTCTATGGTGGTCTCTATTTGTATCAACTATGGTGGTCCTAGGAGAACCATAAGATGGTCATTTTTCTCTTTCAGAAGCAAATTGATCTTATTTTGATGAATAATCTTTCTATCTGGCTAATTAATACAAATAGAGATTGGTATAAATGGTTTTGTAATGTACGAAATGAGCTTTTTTGTTGTGATTTAAAAAACTATTGAATTCTTTTGCTATAGGCTAGCAAACTGGGATTATCAAAAAACAAAAACATGATTTGCTTGTACCAATCATACCAGGTAATTTTAAATTACTTCAGTATGTAGGTCCCTTCGTAACAACAATTTGTCTCTCGTTCGACAGACAGTAATTTCTGAGTTGTCTGAATATAACAGCAAAGTAGATTTTGTTTGCATAGTTTTGCTATTTTCTTTAAATATACATAAAAATGTGAAATGTTTATTGATACCAAAAAGTTGACTCAAGACCTTGACAACAGTGAAAATAAATATTAAAATACCAGAGCGATACATTTCAATAAGATTGACGCAGTTTGTATCCTTGATCCTTTTCAATGTTATCTCTTAAAATTAGAATATTTTTCATGGACACAACCACAGTTACTATTCCTGGTAGAGAAAAACTAAAAACCTAAGACCTTTTGGGCGGTTTTATCAGTGTCCGTGTCTCAACATTGATCATTATCTAAAGGTTTTGAATAAGAAGCCAAAATGGTCTGGATTTCTGCTCCATTCACGGGGCTTTGAATTGATGAGAGCAATGGGCCTTTCTGCTATCCAACTTAGCCTTTGAGTAACGGCAAAGAGAAGATATAGGTTGCAGTAATCTTCAATAACCCCGTTCCCCCTATAGACATTGTCAATATTTGATGGTCCTGAAAAAATGTCTTTAGTCCTGCAATCAACATAGGCGTAGGACACAAAGGGATGCAGTCCCCCTGGTCCGGCAACATCTATCATATTTCAGGCTCCAATCTCGCTAAGAATTATTAGGATAAGGAAGCATTCTTTAACGTCCACTTTGCCGTAAGCATTCTTTGGAGTCCATCCAGCAGTCTTGATACCGTGACCTTTATTTTCTTACATGATATCATATTTAATCTTCCTGAGAAAGGCGTATAGAAACGAAATCTTATTTTTTTAAAAGTACACATTACCTTTGTCTTCTTTGTAGGCTCCCTTTGCATAGTATTCCTTTTTGTTACAATCTTAATTTTAGCGGCCCAGGCTCTTTAAGATTTACTTTTCCAGGGTCGCATAAAATACAAGTATAGCTGGATTTTTCGGTTGCAATATTTGAAAAAAAATCATGATATTGCTCAACTCATGATGTTTTTCTCTTAGATTATAATGTTCAATTTCTCACCGCTGGTAGTCACAGTGATTGCTAAGGGCTCTGCAAACACAGGTAATTCCTAATTGTTTCAGAGTTTTGTTTATGTACTCGCCCTCAAGCTGTATTTCAGATGACGCCATTGGCTGAATTAAACAGCTTAGCATCTTCAAATAATGCTGCTGAAGATTTCATTAGCTTTAATGTGACTGATTGGGGGTGTATAACAAAATGCATTTAAACATGAAGTTTGTCAACTGTCTGCACCTCAGGAAGATAATAATCAAGAATTATAGATCCGCAATTGTATCTTGTGTTTAATATAAAATTTTGCACAACGGTCCATTTTCACTATGACGTCATGCGGTGTAAATCTGCGACGCGCGTGCATTTGCTTTACCCTTATCTGTCGCTCTCACTAAAGGACAGACAAAGCATAAAGATTCCTTGATAAATAAGCCTCCAGAAGTAGGATTAGTTATCGCTCTTGTTGCACCTCCCTTTTTATTAAGAGGAATAGGTTAACTACTAATTTCGCAAAAGTTATGCTTGGTCTGAGGCAAAGTACTTAAGAATTTTTTTATCAATTTGTCTTAGTCTGAAGTGTGGTTTTAAAAACTCACAACAACCATTAACATTTTTTAAATTAAACAAGGCCGCCGAAAGCGTTGTAGAGAGACATTTGCTCTCTAGCAAACCAAACATATTTGCATGTACCAGTTTTCTTTGTCTGCAATGTAACATGTGGATCAAAAATATATATTGATTTTCAAAAACAATAGATTTTGCCTAATGAGCAGGGCCGCTGAAAAGTTTTGGAGAGAAAACAGAAAGATAAGGCCCCCCTGCGAGCGGAGCGAGTATAAAATTCTTGCAACCACACTCTTCACATTACCTTAAAATGCGTTTCAGAATGTTTTTTGCAATGTCATTTCTTTCAGTCGTTTAAAATGTTTTAAATATACTTTTGCTACTGTTGATAAATTCCATTCGTAAAAAGGAATTCATTATTATGCCCTAGAACTCACTGCCTTGGCGCAATTTGTTTCCCTTGCCCCCCTCTCGGCAGCCCTGCTGATGAGTTGCCTAACAGTTGCTTGGTAATCGCATTAGGCGTGCAACTCAAGGAGCAACTGCATACCGTCCTATTCTATAAACCAAGCGTGTACAACCCTGCCTAAACTGTATGAGCACTCCCTGAAAGACCGGTAAACATATGCAATTTTCGCCGCTGCCTACTCCAACCATTTTTAAGTTGTCATGAAATATGTCTACTCTTAAGTTGTCATGAAATATGTCTATAAATTGATTTAAATAGACTTCGACATTTCAACTTTAACACCAGTTGAAGCATAGTATCTGGAGCACAGGCTTAGTATCACTAACTTTCCATCGTTGTGTCATCGTAGATTAAATGTTTGAGATTATAGGGCCAATTGCCACCCCTCCCCTCCCTAATGCAACACTACTCGAATGAATGACCTCACGAAAATTGAATGTTTCCTGTCAAAGAAATATAAGAAAAAGTTTGCACGAACAAGAAAATTGCAATATTGCTCTTTCGTCACGACTTGAAAAGGTTAATTTTCCTTTCTATTGGACGTCAACGTTTATTCAGTGCTGTACCAACATTTCAGCACAATAATTTTGCACCCATTATCGATTACGTCTAGATTTTGCCTCTAGGTAAAATAAAGCATAGTTCTAAGCGACCTTTTTTTTGTTTTTTGTTTTTTGTTTTACAATTACCTTTTTTTCCAAACATGGCCTTACCCTTATGCGTGTAAGGGTAGGGGTTTGGGTTAGGGAAACTGCTGCCACTATAGTTCAGAATAATCACGATTTAAAGCCATTTGAGCAAAAAGATAATCGATTCTCAGCCTAAGATCTGAAACCGCGATAGGTCTGAAACCTCTACCCGCACACCCACGGCCACACCTTGGCCCCTGGACACAAGACGAGGTTAGCGCCACACGAGGCTAAGCTAGATAATTGTATCGCCTTGAGAATGACATTTAAAGATAACATTTAAGAGAATAACCATCAGTTTCTGCGGGCTAAAACCAAAGTTCCTGACGGTTGAAAGCGATAGTCGTTGCAGTATCAGCTGCTAATAAAGTGGAGACTCGCTAAGCCTTTTAAACAACAGAAATTTCAAGTTGTGAATGGTCAGAATAATGAAGTGTAACACGCAAGGCGTGATTTATAAGTAACTGTTTCGTAAGCTGAAGCCGCAAGATCGTTCCTGTTGAATGAATGATTTACACTGTTAAACATTTCATGATTGATTTACTATTACGAGTCCTTCTGTGGGTCTTCCAGGGGTTTTCGGAAACAAGGGAACATAGCAGCGAAGGTACAGGAACACAGAAACAACTTAAATTATCTACTGGGAACATAGGAACATTATTACTGGTTTAAGGAACATTTTTTTATTTTTCAACGGGAACATTGGTTGTTTTTTCCAAAGGGAACATGGGAAAAAGTATCCTCCCCCCTGGGAGATCCTCCCTTCTCACCCTTCAAACCTATCTTTGCTAATGAGGCTGTTAGAGATTATTTTTATAAGAACATACTTTACAAGAGGCTCGATTTGCCAAGAAATAAACGACGTACAAGTTACTTAGCCTTAGGTGAACAAATAGAGAAAAAAATTGCATTTTAGAAAATTTGCTAACATGTTAGCAAAACGAAGCAGATTTTGTCAGCTAATTAACCGTGCTACTAAAATGTAATGGAAAAATGACATTTAGTGATTTAAGAAACAACTTATAGAATTTTGTTGTAGAAATATCAATGTTGAAATGAGAGCGTCATTTAGACCACCCAAGCTTCAAATTATCCAAAAGTTTGGACATTGAGCCTCGGCAAAAATGATCTGGTGTTTTTTAGAAAAGAGCTTTTAGAAAAGAGGTCCAGATAAAGGATTGAAACTACAGTGATATATAGAAAAAGATATATGAAATCAGGAGATGCCTCATTGAGTTAGGGAGAGTTGAATAAATTTAGACCTTGAAATTTTATTGCAAAGGTATCTCCGGAGAATTTATTTAATTTCTTTTTAGAATAATTTCACTTTTGAAAGAGTGTAAGAATATGTCGCAAAGTGAAAAGGCTAAGAAAGGTTTATGCTGACCCCATGCCCCCATTCCCACAATTAGCTATCTAATGAAGCTCTTAAAGGTTTTATGGTTATTCTTAACTCATTCTTTGTATCCTCACTGACTAGATTAATCAAGAGCTTCTAATTTTGGCATTTTCAGCATTCAAGTGATCGTTGTTGTCTCGTTTGGTTTTCTCAGAATGTAAAAGAGCCATTCGTTAAGTTTATTAAACTCGAGATATTGAAGTTGATGGGGACATGTTGTAACCCTGAGTAGATACAAAAAGGCCGTGACCCTGTCTACAAAATCATCTCTCCCAGTACAAAATCATTCCATTCGATGCCATGTAGGAAACATTTTAGTAAAATAAGCCAAAAATCTTTTGGCAACCTTCCATTTGTCATTGCTGAAATGTATGAAAAGACTTATCTTTCCTCGAATTTCACCCTTATGAGTATTGCTAGATGGCTTGCCCAATTTTAACTCTCTCTAAAATCATACCATAGTATTTATCGCCAGTTGTGTTAACATTTAACTTGTTTTCCACCATTTTAGGTATGATTCTCTCGCTTGAAGATGAATTCTCGGAAATACTGAAAGACTTAAGCAAGACTGTAGGTAGCACATAGTCGAGATAGAGGTCAGTTATAAATAATATTGTCTTCTGCTCTGCTTTTATTGAAAAAAAACCCGACCTCGTGGGCTTATCATTGGCGCTTGCCCCCTGAATTTCTCTATGGGAAATTTGTCTTGCTAAATTTATCTTTTCCAGTATTGAAAAAATCGAATGACTCTAGCATATCCTCAAAGTATTCGATGGTGCAAATTTTTTTTCTAACTTTCATGTTCGAAATTCAATTTTTTCGTGCTGCACAGTTCAAGAGTTAATCCAAAAACAAAATTAAAGTTAATTTTTGTTTATGATGCATTATGATGCATCAAACTTAATTTTTGTTAGCCAGAGCCAGTTGGGTAGACTTCCAGTTAGTGAGGGTAGAGATGTTAAGACTCCTTGATGTAAGTTAAGAATCAAAATATGCGAATTCCAATTGAAAATATTAGGCATTGGTAGATAAAATATTTGTAAATGATTTATACTGATGTATTTTTGTTGTGCTAGATTTTGTAGCCGTAGAAAAAGCTTGATTTACGCTTACAGTAAAAGGTAGCTGAAGTATTTTTTTTGTTCCGGAGAACTTGTTTCTATAACCATGTTGCTGTGTCGGCGTCTCATCTTTCCAGGAAATCTCAAGGATCATCTATGTTTTCATTAGATAACAGATGTAAGACTTCTTTACAGGGGATCATGACGCCTAGGGGTGTGTGGCCTTCCGTTTCTCTAATGCTAACCAGGTGTATAAATCAACTCGCAAAGAAAATCTGCTAGTTAATACATTACGGATTTGGCAATTTCCTGGGGTTAAAACACGTAGCATTGGTTTTTTTCTTGAAATTGCTCAGCTGAAAAAGTTGTTAATGTTTGCAAATAGCTTGACCACTATAAATTGTTTTATTGTTTGCATACAGCGTGAAAATTATAGTTGTAATACTGTACTGCCGATTGGGCAGTACTACGCTTCTAAAATGATAGATTTTGTTCATCAGCCCTCACACATAGACCGTATCATTATTCCTAATGCGTTGCCGTACAATCAAATGATTAGTTGTTAAATCGGATGAATAACACCACACGAATGAGTTTTTTCTCTTTGCGCTTGCAGACTATACAACGCTCTTCAAAAGGCACCTGGCTTTTTATTATTTCTCTATCTTTTCCCGATAAAGGCTTCTTTCATCAACTTTTCATTCTTTCACTTTATTTCTTACATGCCAACTAAACTGTCCCTCTACTGCTTACAGTTACAAAGTTGCCAGTTAGCTTGCACACCTTCCTCAATCAAGCTATACCTCTGGGCTTTAAGGAAGAATTTTCAGAATTCATTAAATCTTTTTTCAACATTATTTCTTAATATCCATCAATTTGCTTTCTTAAGTGATTCTATTTTTTATTGTACAAGTGCTTGTTTGTCAGTCTAAGCAAAATACAAAACGCTTTTTTCTGCGTATCACACTAGATTTGAGCTCTGTTCATAAGACCACATCCTTAGCTCCTGGCTTTTAAATACCACTTTCTATATAGAACAAGGAGTAGCCAGTCAATGATAAAATCATTCACAAAAGCCATGTCATTTTCTGATTATCTGATTGACCAAATTGTGACCTTTTGACTGTGATGAATTTCAAGCCGTTTAAAATATTTAAGGATGGGTGTAAAACCAAAGTAGATTTGGTCAATAAAATACCACGAAAACGTCACCTTCTTGTCTGGCGGGCTGATCTTCTTGTTCATTGTTTCCCAAAGTCTTTTCAAGCCTTTTTGCTACCCAGTTTTATGCAGGTCACGCCTATTCTATTTAGTATCTGTGTAACAAGCCCGGTGAAATGCACCCCGGCGATAAATTTCTCGACCTTAGAGTCCCCGCTCGAAAAGTCAAGTGATCCAGGTAATTTTCCATTTCCCCGCTTCCTTTGCAAGCTGGGGTTTTCTACCCTCAGTCTGTCTTAAGTTTCCTCTTCTGCATGATATTCCACCCCGTGCCAGTTCAAGACAGATTTTTCTGCCCCTGCCATATTCACCTGCTATTCCCCGTGAAAAAATGCCTCGCCTTTATAACCCTAAAAACATTTCACATATTTTGCTGCGTTTCAGCGTTTAAAATCATCACTGACTATGTCTTCATCAAGTTTTTAACCTTTCTTTAAACTGCTGTTCGTTAAAATTGATTCTTTGAAATTTTCATATATAATATAACTATTGGTCATCCGGAAACAAGTGCAATAAAAAAATTTCTGTGTAGGATGTTATTGTCATAAGCTTTTCTAAATCTTTAAGTCTATTTAAAACCCCTTAGGCAAGGTGTGACTTCAATTGAAATGAAGGGGATAAATCTTTTTTCTAGAATTTGACAGAAAAAAGTAATTGCATAGGTTTTATTCTTTAGAACTCTATCGAGAGATTTACTTTACACCCAGAGAAAATGATTTTAAGCAGAATTTTAAGAAAATTATATTTTCTATGACCGGAATTGAATGCATGAAACTTGAAATTGTTGATGTCACCAAAACTGACATATGTGTTGCTATCTCTGGGTGCAGCAACACCCGATAATGGCAGCTCTCTCGTATGAAAATGAAGTATTTGCTGCCTGAATTTTGGTTACTAAAATGGCAAGAAATTGGTTAGAAAAGACCATGAAAAAATAAGATATATATCAACTGTAAACTTCTAATTTAAAACGTCATACTTAGAAGAAATACAAGTTGTGCAAAAAATGTTGGACAAGAAAAAGAAGAAGACAAATTAAGAATTCTCTTCTTAAGCATGAAAATTTCTAAAAACGAAATCACACACTTTTAAGACTTGCATTGATTTGCAGTTCATATTCATTGTGAATAAAATCAACTTGAATTATAAATAATTTATACGTTGTTACAAAATTCGATCCCATTACTTTGTGCTCTTCAGGGCTCGAAATCTGTACAAGCTCTTGGCATCAGAAATGCGTCCTCTAGGCATCACAAATACTTCATCTAGGAATCAGAAATACTGCTTCTAGGAATCAGAAATACTGCTTCTAGGCATCCATAAGGCATCTTTTGCACCTGGTCCGTAGTGTCAATGGTCTGTAAATCAGCGTGTCCGTCGACCTTCTCCTTTTGACTTGGATATAGAACACGTAGGATGTACAAGGCCTCAAGCCTTTAATTGTTCTTGTGAAAATGGCCTTGTGATTTTTGCGAATGCGCTTATTGATACAGATGATCCTACGAACCCCAGAATCAGACATTGGTTTAAAGCAGACGTTGCCTAATTTCTTGTATATTTTCGTGCTAAATCGTCCAATATACAGACAAAACTGTTGCTTTCCTTTTGCTGCTAACCAGGCAATAGTGACACTTGTGCATGTGCGTAGCATTGGCCATTCTTTGACACCTCTGCCTTTTGGCAGTCTTGGGAAAGGCCCCCAACGTTTGCTGGAAGACAAGTGGATTCTTAGGTTTAGTTCCCCGTCTATTTTTTTGTTTAGTGTCACAAAATAGGTTCCCACTGGAGCAGCTTTGATTGTGTTGGTCTTTACACCGTAGGCTTGGTATTTCCTCAAGACTCTTGATTCATGAGTGATAGTAACAAGAACTGGTCCTTCACAAGCGATGACAGTAAGACGCGTCGTACCCTGCCTTGCCACCTCGAATTGAACCACATGGTAGCCTGTTTTCAGATCGATTTTAAGATTAAGCGTTGAATCCTGCCTAAGGCGACTTGTAAGCGAAGATCTGTGCTTAGGTAGCGTTAATCCAGCGTATGCTCGGCTTCGATTCGAATGCGGATTGACAGCAAATACGTTCACGTGATAGTTCACATCGCTACTTAAGTGCTTTCGTAGATTAAACTGGTTTCGACCACGAACACAATAAAATATAATCATGTCTGATGGGTTTTTTTTCATCAAGTCTTGGGCTTGGCAAAGACGATCAAAGTTTCTTTTCGTGTTAACAGAGACACAATAGTCGATATTCGCTTTGGTGTTTTCACTCTCTTTTTCCGTCATTTTTGCAGGTTCCCAATACAAGTTAACATAGCCATTCGCTAAATGTGCCACCGATAATATTTTGTCAGGTGGCAGTTGGGGCATTCCTAATTCTAAGCTGCCACCCACCAGCACCGAAACTCCAACGACCTGCGTAAAGCTTGTCGTGGATCGCATCTCTATTTTGTAAAATCCTTTAGGTGCTTCATGCAGTGTAAAAAGTTGAGAGTCCTTTGTTTCGTAGACGGCTAAGGCAACAGCCACGTTGTTGGAGTCGAAATTTTTCACATGTAAGAATGTTTTAGGTCCTTTTTTGTTTCTTGGCATATCGATCTCAACTCTTTTCCAATTGTTCTGCATAATGTCGCTGTAATCAAGATAACTGACAGTCCACTGTAAGCTGGCAAAACACATCAAATCGATAAAAATTGCTAAGGACGATTTATTCTCATGCAACTCAAAAAAGGCTTCATCAGCCGCCCATGGAGGCAGCGATACTGGGCTTGCAACACCGTTCGTCTTGACTTGAGAGCTTAAATTCATGGCCACCGAATTTCCAATTAATTGAATAAGCCTCTGCTTTTTCTCGTCCATTGACGGTCTTTGTGCTGCAAACGATATGCGCAAGTGACTAAAAACCAGAATGCTGATTATCAGTTTCATTGTGGTGAGAGACTCCATCATACCTCGCTCGTGGCTCAACGTTGACGGGCAAAGGACAGGACAGTTAACCTCGCGAGTTGTTACGACTCGTTTATATACTTAACACAAGTAGCAGCATGTCCTTTATGGTTGGTGTTTCAAAAGACTCGACACAATCTAGGCGAAACACACCGTTTACTATTCAAGCTGGTGACATATGAAATACCTGCAGGTAACCGCAAGAGTCCACTGGGCGAAGTCAGTGGCAAGTTAACATAATCATTTTATCTGGTTAAATCCCTTTGATTGTCTGTAAAGATGAAAATCACAGTGTCTCAAAGGATCGTCATGCTTTAGTTTCGCGGTAACTGTGCTAGTGGTTCAGAGAGCACTTCAAAATTATTTACTTTTTACCACAGAGGCCACCACATTCGAAATCCCCGCTGTCCTCCAAACTCCATTCAATGTATTTCATATCTTATCGTGCCCTTCTTTATTTCTTCGGACCCTTTGCGACTTCTGTCTGGTGAGCTTTTATGTTTGCTCGAACTCGTTGACTCAGGAACCAAGACGTTCTTTTAAACAAACGCTAATTATTTAACTGGCATGCCCTTCTTTCTGTTAAGAGTGTGAGAATGTTTAGCCAGACGTAATCCACTAGATCACAAGGTTGAGCGAAAATTTACATTGGTTCAGTAGTGAGGCTAGCTAAAGATCTGGAGCCAATTCTATTAAAGTCCATACATATTTGGCTTGCAATGGGAGCGGCTCAGAGTAGGTTGTGGACACGGCCATGGCGGTAGGCTCAGATATTGACTAGATTAATCATGGCCAGTTAGAATGTAAGTGAAGTCGATTGAAAATTCGCAAGCAGTGGGTTGCCATAGTTTGCATTTAGGACAACAGCCTCCTTTAAGACTTAAGAGCGAGGCCCGCCAACAGCTTTGGGGTTCTAGGACTCTTCTCCTTAATTAATTTTTCTACCGCATCCTGCGATTTAACAGGAAAAGCACTCTTGGTTGTCGGAAGCCTTTCAAAATTTTAGGGGCACAGGTAGGAAGGGGTACTATGTCACAGAAATATGAACAATTTCCAAAAGTTCTCAATAGTGTGACGGTAAGAGGTAGGTTAGCCAGTAATTTGATGTCTATAAAAGCGAGTCGTATGATGAAAAATTTGAAATATACTCATAATATCTTTTATCAGAATGCTATAAAATTTTTCCAGTCTTGATAATCTTAATAAATTTCTGTTTCGAGCCTTAATCAGTTTTACAGCCAGAATACTCTCAAAGTATTCTTATTTTTCAAACCTGATGTGGTCTTAGGGGAACATCGCTCGCTCTTCAATAAAAAGCATGCTTTTTTAAAAACGAGAAAAACCGGTTTCTGCGATTTTTTGTAATCCACGCCGCAAAACACGCATCTGCCAAGAAACGAAACACAAATTTGCGAGCTAGGGCTGAGCAACATTCTTAAAATCTTCTCGAAAATTTGATGATTTTTACAAACAATAATTTTATAAAAAAGGGTGTATGCATTAAAAATAAAATGCGAAAGAAAATATTATTACCGAATTTCACATCAACCAGCCAGCATTTTAGATTCCTACTTTGGCAACTTGAAGTATGCTGAAAAATGAAGATCGAATATCGCATAATCTTGAAGGATGGGACACATGGGGTTGTCCTTCGAGGATTGTAAGAGGTGTGGTACCCCCTTAAGTTTTCCAAGAATTGGACTGAATTTATTTGTTGGTCAGTATATCTGGATTGTCACACTATGCCTCTGATTCAAGAATGTTAAAAAAGTATCTTCTTCCTATTTTTTAAAGAAGAGTTTAAAACCTTCCACAGGGTTATGATTTCGCGACAGCCTCATTTCGTAGAAAACCGCTTCCGGACCGCTGTTGCTGATTTTCAAACATATCTGCTCACATCAATTTTATCCCAAAACACAAACTTTAGATTGTTTGCTGAAGTTCTATCTAAATAGACTCTTGCAAACAGTAAACACATATTCAACCCGTTTTGAAATAATGCATAGAAGGAGTGTGGAGTTTGCCAATAGAAACAAGCTGGTAATCTTGGGATGTTTTATTTATTGAGTCACCTCAGTCCAGCTTGAAAATGGGAATGCAAGCTAGCAGATATTTAATGAAATCCCCATAGAACGCGTGTTTAGTGTTTAGAAATCTCTTTATACTGACCGAGAAATCTCTTAATACTGACCGAGAAATAAATAAACTTCAGTATATGCCGTTACGTCTCTGCGCACGTCTATAACGGAGAAATATTAATAAACTGGCCTTTTAATTAAAAATTGAGATAAACGTTACTTCATTTCACCACTAGGCACACGAGATACACGCGAGATACACGCGAGATACACGCGAGAGACACGCGATGTACATAAATGTAGAAGGCGGAAAAAAGTTAATGACCCAATAGTACTAAAGACAAAATTCATAGGAACTAAAAACTAAAAACGAACTTTTTATTTTTGAATATTTTTATCATTTCAAACAATCAAGTATTAGGAAGCCGTAGGTTCCATTCATTTGGAGTTAAAACTCATAAAATTGTGTGTTACGAAGGTAGCTATCGATTGTTCCATTGTGTAATTTCTAGTGTCTCATTTTTCTTATTGATCGAATATCCACTTTTTTGTATATCAAACGTTTTTCTAGTCTGCTTTCTGTATTTCACCTTGCTCCTAGCCAGACCTGTCAACCCTCCCGGTTCAGCGGGGAGACTCCCGGTTTTGACTGCTTTCTCCCGGTCTCCCGGTTTTTAAATTTTTTCTCCCGGTTTCAAAGATGTCTAGCAGAATGTCTAGGAAGATTCACCGATTTTGTTAGTGCTTACTGATTAACAAAAAACACTAAAAGTTATTACGAAGATACTTCTCATGTTCAGTTTTGTCAAAAACTGTTTGCCGAGCACAAAATTTTATCAGGTATATTTATTCCCTTAACAAATTACTGTGATCTCCCTGTTTTTGACCAAATCTCCCTGTTTTTCTTTAGGAAAAATCTAAAATCTACAGGTTTTGAAAATTTGAGGTTGACAGGTCTGCCTAGCTACAATTACGAAGGTAGCGACACTGTGCAATTTTCATGGCACCAAATGTGCAGTTTAATTAAGGAACTATTGAGGAGCTTTCAGTACTACAATTCGCTCAACAGAAGTCCAAAAATAAGGAATTTTAAAGTCTTGAGCTAGGTTCCTTGTAAAAATAGCGTGTTCTATGTCCAGAGCCCCCATTATGGATGTAAGGGACTCCACAAGTATATTTTCTTCTATGGTGAGTTGAAACTAGAGTCAGTTGATTAATAAATATTCTCACATTAAAAGTTATTAAGGAAACCAGTTTGATTTGGAAAAATATTTAATGACCAGGTAATCAAGTTACTGGCCTTTGTTTTAAAAATTTCGATCTTTTAGGTCTTGACAGCTTCGTCAAGTATCGTGAAACACTTGTCTGAACGGAAAACCTACCCCTGACCTGCAAAAATCAATCACAACTCCCGAATTAAGATACATTATTTGACGTTCAAGGTCCTAAGATACAAAAGAAGGTTTTCTCAATTTTCTATTTTTAAGACAGGTACTTAATGGACCGTTTAAAAATTCAGACAGTAGTTCACTTTATATAAACTATTTGTCTGCTATCGATTCATACTTTACGCTTGGTCTCTCATCTTGACATCTCTACCCACAGTGAATTGGAGGGTCTCGTATTGAAGACATGATGGTATCTTTTGGGACAGCTTTTACCATTCTGCGTTAATTATACCATTCTCATTTCAAACAGCCGATCCAGACATGAGACATATATGACATTTTTGTGGAATCTCTTGTGGAATCCCCTGGTCTTTTACCTTTTTGCCCCAAACTTTTACTTTCCTTTGTAATAATCATGGGCATTTTTGACACAATTGCTACATCAGTCCAAGTATTACTATTTTCCAAGAAAGAGCAATATTAAAAATTGTTTAGAAGACCATTGCCTGCAGGCATATACGGGCACTCCTTTTCTAAATCGTTCATTCACTTCTATCATTATACCGTTGTGCACTTGTGATCGTTTTCCTTCCGTCAGAAAGAGAATTCCAACTGTTGGACATTGGACGACACTTTTGCTAAAAGATGGTCTATCTAATTTATCTTTAAAATATTTGTTTATTTTTTAGTAAGAATGAGGTATAGGGTAAGAAAAATTAATTGGGAATAGGGGAGGTAATTTTTCATAATTTTGGAAAAATGATGTCATCTATTCAGCGTAAGGCAAAATATCCTTTTTGTATTGCTATATAAAATACAGAGACCTCGGAAGTTGGGGGCTGAGGGAGCTTAAAAGACATTCTATGTTTGAGCATCGCCTGCACCAAAAGCCCTTGGTCATTTTAAAATATCTTTATGCATCTTGCGCCGTCTCACCGGTGAATGTCAAAGCCCTTTAAATCAATGGACTCATCAGCGTCTTTAGGAAGTCTGGAAAGCTCATGAACGTTTTTCCATTGCTTTTATCTAATGTTATTCATCTCAAAGTTTAACTTTTATGAAAAACTCCTTTGTGTAGGCCACAGGTTAGAGAATTTTGGACATTATACTCTAAATTAAGCTCCCTGCTAGTCATTCATCTTTTCACTCTTAATCTTGTCGATTTCTCTCCAATTAGCATTCAATTGGGGAGAAAATTCTAGTCGTGGAAAAAAAACCGTGGAAAATTCTTACAAGCGGTTCCTAAAATCGTTTACTACCTACATTTGGCTCACATCTTTCTTCATGACATTTTTAAGTGAATACCCTCAGAGCCTCAAAGTACTGCAATATCATATATCGGTTAAACATTAAGCTAATTGTAGAACTGTGGAGTCTTATGTTAGAATAATAATGAAATTAAGTAAAACTCGTGAAGATCTAATCTAAGATAACAAGATTAAGATTAATCTAAGATTATTTATCCTGTAATCTAGAATTATTAATCGTGTAATCCTTATGAAGCCAGTTTTAATCATGAGCCTGTATTTCCATATCTCCCAGAATCTGTCTGGAAACAGTTTCAATTTTTTTGATCTCATACACATTTTATCTAGCATATTAAAAGAGGTAATTATCTTGTTCAGACTGAATTACATCGACGTCTTCAGACTTTTTGTCAACAAAGATCACATGCCGCTCATTTAAAGTTGTAGCATGATTGTCCGTTGCTCCAATTGAAATGCAATTGAAACTATACATTGAAAATCTCTGCTTTTGGCTTTGCAAACAAGGAAATTTGTAGGTTCCGAAAGCTTTGCACACGCAATGCCGGTGCCAGACACTAGGCTCTGGGGGAAAGGGGGGGGGGACAAAGCAAGAAAATTTAGGCCACGCCCTTATGACTAGCTTTTATTCACGTAAAGGCAGATTGAAAATCATAGGATCGCGTACATCACAGAAATTTGGCATCGAATTTAGACGAAATGCAAAATTTATCGTTGCTCAATACAAGAAGAACTGGATAACATGGCTCATTTTTTTGAAGGATAATTTTCCCATTGGGTTGTAATTTCTAAAAAGGACCACGGCTATCTGAACGCAATTGTTTTTATTTGGAAAATGCTAACCCCACCCACAATCAAAAATAAAAAAAAGGTTAAAGGAAAGGAATCAATGTTTATCTTTTCCAAATCTTGGTTAACACGTGCTCCTGACACTCTTGCTCTTTCTTTATCATTTTAGGCCTCCCTCTCATTCAAAGTCCTTCCATACTCTTCCATGCACTTACTTGGAATTGTCTGTCTTTCTTAGTCTTCACAGGTTTTCCATGATCTTCCTTGGTTCTTGCTGATCATTGTAGACTTTCAAGCACTTCCCTA